AAATCTAAAACCTTTGCGAACTCTTACTTCGGACCTTAAATAGAACAAGAGTCGGAAGAAGAATACAAAACTCAAACAATAGACTTAATTAAACGCTAGTAAAAAAAGGGTTCGCGCTCTCAATGTCCTATATCTAATAAAGACTAATCTGACATCGAAACGTTTTCATATAATGCAAATATAATCCAAAGTGAGTGAAAATTTTTTCAAGATAAGTTCAAATAATTTACAATCTCAACAAAAAAGTTGCTGATGACGCAAAAAGAAGAGAGTGAAAAAATTTAAAGAGAATTTAAAGCATTATAAGAAAAATTAAAAGGTAAAAATAAATCGGCATCAGAAGCGAATTCTTTCTGCAGAGTTGTTCCTTCTGTGGTATAATTTATTATCGCCTGCGGTATCGTAGATGCATTAGAAGTTTAACGCTTAAAACAAAGAAAGCAGCAGACTCGGCTGCACTCTGTCTAAGAGGACGCGGACGGTGCATTAAACGAAACGACGACCATCATCCAACACTGCGATCGACAGGTAGTCCATGATTTGCAACATTTTATCCAGCTTCACATCGCTAAGTTTTTGAAGCCTGTGCAATATGGCATATACATATAGCGTACAAAACTAGCGGCATGGCAGAACGGAGGCCACTTGCTTGTGGTTCGTTCGTTAAACCTAAAGCCGGATCTTCCATATGCCTACATTCAAACCTACCATATATGAAATGTTTACTCAGGAACAAAAGAATATCGGCCTCAAGTCTACCCATTTATTTAGCGGATTTGTTATAAATTTTGATATCTTTCAATAATTTAGAAAGCTATATGCTATAACTTATGCTATAACTTGAATTCAAGTTTCGGAATTACTGAAAGCTGATACATTCTTTTTAATTGGTTTTTAAATAAATTTATTCTATATTCGACGCCTTTTATTCACGATAATGCTTATTAAAACAAAAGAGCAAAATAATTCCTATTGCAATTCCACGAATTAATTATTATTGGTTATAAAATTATAAAATGACTTACTTCAGTTCGTTCATTTGTTCTTCAAAATGCACGTCAACAATTTCAAATTTTGGAATTATTTCGAAAAAAAATTCTCCTGGCTGCCAGGATAGTTTAGCCATTTCGTTAATTTTAAAGTTTTTTGCAAATTTCTAGACCACCGAATGCAACACCCAAGAAAATAATTTGATTACACTCTTTAGAAAAAAATTACAAGCGAAACAATTTTCTTTCACTGTTTTTTTTCAAGTTTTACCAATCAAACTTCAAAAATGTATTAACTTCGTTAACCCTTTGAGGGGCACATTATTCTAATGGACGGATTTTCTTTACAACTCATGTCTTAATATTTTTGGGGACGCTGATTACGAATTTGAAGTTAGTTCTTAAAAATTTAAAATGGCGGATCCAATATGGCGGACATTTTTTTTTAATTAATCGTATTCACTTGAAAATGTTTACTCGGGGGTTTTTGGGGTCGCTGATTACGAATCTGATGTTAGTTTTTAAAAATTCAAAATGGCGAATCTAACTTGGCGGTCAATTTTGTTTTAAATTAATTGGATTTACTTAAAAATTGTTATTTGGGAATAAAAACTAACATCAGATTCGTCATCAGCGATCCCAAAAACCCCCGAGTGACAAGTTTCAGGTAAAACTAGACAATTTTTAAAAAATCTTCCGCCATATTGGATCCGTCATTTTGAATTTTTAAAAACTAACATCAGATTCGTAATCAGCGACCCCAAAAACCCCCGAGTAACAATTTTTAGTCGATTTTAAAATGTTTAAAAAATTCGTGATTTTTAACAATAATTTATGGATTTTTTTAAACAATAGGAATTTTTTTAACATGATCTAGAGGTTACATATTTTTAAAGCCCTATTCTTCCTGAAGAGAACGCACTAAATTTGACTCAAAAATATTAATTTTCGTCAAAGATATTGAGGTTTTTAAAGGTGGGACGTATATGTCCCACCCTCAAAGGGTTAAGAACATTTTTTTATAAAAAATAAAAAATACATACGTTTCTTTTTTTTATATAGAATATGAGTGGCGATAAGTACACTAATGTTTTTGGGGTCGCTGAACTCAAATTTGAAGTCAGATTTAAAAAATTCAAAATGGCGACTAAAAAAATTTTTTAATTTATCAGATTCGCTTGAAACACATTGAAATTCGGAGATTTTTGGAGTCGCTGATTACGAATATGATGCCAGATTTTCATAATTCAAAATGACGGATCCAATAAGGCGGATAATTTTTAAATTAATGCAATTCGATCCAATTTCATTTCTCGGGAGTTTATGGAGATCGTAGAATTGGAATTTAATGTTCGTCTTTCAAAATTCAAAATGGCGGATCTAAGATGGCGACCAAATTTTTTTTAATGCGGAGTGATTTTTCTAAAATGTTTACTTTGTAATTTTAAAAACTCCCGAGTTAATAATTAATATTTTTTGACAAATCCGGCAACGTTAAAAAAATTTGATCGCTATATTAAATCCGCCATTTTCAATTTTGAAAAACAGGCATCAAATTCGCATTCAGCGACCACAAAACGCCCGAAAGACGAATTTCGATCGAAACGCATTAATATTCAAATTATCCGCCATATTGGGTCCGCCATTTTGAATTTTGAAAACCTGACAAAAATAAATAATTAATATAATAAATAAACAAATAAATGAACAATAAAATAAAAAAAATTACTAAATGTCTCTTATGGAGAAATAATAGGAATTAAAAAAAATTTTGCTTAAAACTTTTGTTACTCAGGGGTTTTTGGGGCAGCAGAATTCGAGTTTGTAGTCGAAATTTGAAAATTCAAAAAGGCGGATCCACTATGGCGAACAAAAAATTAGAAATTAGTCGGACAGACTTCAGATTCGTAATCAGGAACCCTAAAGACCCTTAGAACTTAAATGTGTAAAAGTAATTCAGGTTTTAAAGGATTAAGGTTATTAAAAGTGAAAATTTGAAAAAACAAATTTCGAATTCTATCGAAACAACTTTGAATTCAAAAATCCATAACTTTGTGGAAAATTCAAATATTTTTGTTTCCTAAATTGGAGTGACCTGCAAATTTATTCAACTTTGTGGAAAAAGTTTATAGAACACTAAATTAATAACAATTCATTTTATAACAATATATTATAATATAATTTTGTAAAATTTGCAAAAACATAGTAAAATATAAAGAGAAAATTAGTATAATTTAGCAAACATGACGAATGGGATGTTTGTAGGGTATCTGATGACGAATCATATATATGTCAGTTTTTCAAAATTTTCAAAATTAAAAATGGCGGATCTAATATGGCGGACGAAATTTTAAAAAGTTGAGCTAAGCTCTTGAAAATCACTACTGGGGGTTTTTTTTGGGTCTCTTATTACGAATCTGATGTCACATTTTCAAATTTTTTAAAATTCAATATGGCGAACGCTTCTTCAAAAAATTTATTGGATTTGCTGGAAATTCGTTTCTTGGTGGTTTTCGGGATCGCTTATTATACAAAAATTAAGTGTGTATCTCAAAATTATGAAGTTATGAATTTTTTTATAGCGGAAGGAATTTGTATTATCCCTTTCGTGCCTCCGGGACATAATTATGTGTTCCACTTAGATAAATTAATGTTATTCTTATAAAATTCAATCAATTAATTTGCGATAAATTTCTTTCTATTCCGAATGGCCGCTGTTACACAATTTAAAAAAAAAAATTTAAAACACACAATTACGTAGTACGATTACAATTATTATAAACAATAGGTAAAATATTTATAAAAAGATAGAAAAATCTAATTTTTCAAAATTTCCTCAAATTTGCTAAAAATTCTTAATCAGGGGTTTTCAGGGTCGCTGATGACGAATCTAGTCAGATTTTCAAAATTTTTAAAATTCAAATTGTGGACATTTTTTTCAAATCTGCTCAAATTCGCTTGAAACTTTTGTTATTCAGGGGTTTTCGGGGTCACCATTTCGAATTTTTTAAATCTGACTTCAGATTCGTAATCAGCGACCCTGAAAAACCCGCAAGTAACAAGTTTTATGTAAATTTGAGTAATTTTGAAAAAATGTCCGCCATATTGGATCTGACATTTTGAATTTAAAAATTTTTTTTTATCTGACTTCAGATTTGTAATCAGCGACCCCAAAAACCCCCGAGTAACAAGTTTTAACGAAATCCAATCGCTGGGTTTTCGTGGTTGCTGATTGTAAAAAAATGGCATTAGTGTTCTGTAACTTCATTGAATTGAATAAAAGAATAATTGTTTGAAAAATGCCTTTGCCTTGCACTGAAATTTTGGTAGAACTCACATTACAAGAAAATTAAGTTAAGAATTATTTTGCTCTGTTGTTGCAATTAGAATCATATAAATATGAACAGAAGCCGTCGATATGTTATAATTAACAATAACTTTTGTTAAACCTAAAATATTCCAACACTTCTGGCGAATGACAATCATCTAAAATACTAAACAATGAGAATGCTTCTCTTGATACTTGAAATTGAAATATATATTCTCTCTTTTCGATATAAAACTAAAGACAATTTGTTAAAACTATCTTTTACCGCATTGAAACCGGAAATCTCCGATAAAGACAAAAAAGTTGATGGTCTTTGAAGAAATAACAGGTTAAAACAGAATGTCGGGTCCTTCAGGCCCAATGGGCAGAAGCAAACATTATTGAACAGGGGCATAGACATTTCGAGTGTTTACTCTAGACTCTGGAGCGAGCTCTGGAGTCTAGACCCAAAATGAGGTAGTCATTCAAGTCGCCATTGAAAAGTTTGTGTTAGGATAACTCGTGGGAAGAATGTTGAAAATTAAATCCTTCCTTGGCACACTAGGAAACAGAGAAGAATGTTAGCGGAAGCTAATCCCGTTGTCCATACCATGCGACCCGGAAAATTACTTCTCCTGCTTTCTGCGCACTATGTATCTCCCAGTGTAGCCAGTGTAGCCAGTGTAGTGTAATATAAAACGTACCTTTCTGGTGTATCGGATCCAGTATTTTCACTGTAACAAACCGAAATAAATTATAGATAATTATATGTTTAAATGTACGTGTTACGTGTTTGGTTCGATGAATTTACAAGTTTCGAACTTTCAGTTTTTAAAATGCATCTTTTCAACAAAGCTATATATGTTACATTAAATTTAATGAAATGAGAAGAATTGTTATGATGTATCCTCTTTGTTTGGTCATTTTTGGTCTGTCAGAATCATTTTAAAAGATTTTTTTATACTTCCTACATTCGAATAAGTGAACATATTGAATAAATATACTTGTCATGAATGGAAAACTTATTCTATTTTTACGTAGGGGTTCATATACCGCGTGGACAATTCTTTATCACTTTTTGACCCCTCCCTTCATCGTGGACAATCGTGAACTTTTGCTACCCCCCCCCCTTTCATAACTTGAATTATTTTATTAAATAAATATTTAAATACTTTTCATTTGTTTTTCCATGAAAGGAATTGAAATTTAAAACCTTTTGAAATTTTAAAAAATTACAACATATATACCCATTCTAAAATTCAATTATTTTCTATAAAATTTTTAACTAACTATGTTGTACTGTCTAGTGTTAAATACAAAAATTTAATTATTTATAATAATTGTAATTCAAAGTGTCCATGTTTATTAAAAGTTTTTTTTAATTTTTATTCAATAAATACATTTTTATCTATTTAATTTTTTTATTCAAAAAATTATAATAAAGAAATTCTTAAAATTCATCTTTTAAAAATATTTTTAAATAATTTTTGAAAGATAGTAGTTTTTCAATTTATAGAATAATAAAAAATTTCCAAACAATTATAATTAGGGAAAATCATTTAAAAATGATTGAATTTTTGAAAAACATAAAAAAATAATCAATTTTTTGAAGCATTTTAATTAAAAATTTTTATTAAGTCATTTTTATTCAAAAAAATAAAAAATTTTAATTTATTTTTTTAAAATATATGATTGTTTCCTCCAAAATGTTAAAAACGATTCTAAAAAATTTTAGTGTTATTATTTATTGCATGTTTATGAATTTTCAAAAATATGCAATATTGGAAATATTAAAAGTATTAATTGAATTTTAAAAAATAAGAATGAATTCAAGTATTTTCAAAATTTACAAATAAAAATTTTTCAAAAGTTGATTTTCAAAAACTGTGATAAAATTCTTTAAAAATATAAATTATTTTCAATTTAATTTTGATAAAATTCAGGGATCACATTGATTTTTTCATATATAATATAGAGATTTAGGTTTAGATAAAAAAGGGAATTTTGAATAAAAATTTTTATTACAAAGCTATTTTTGTTTTAAAATATACATAAATTTTTACTACATTCGAAGTAAATTTCAAAAAACTTGTTAGTAAAATAATTTGGAACTTGGAAAAATTTTCTTCAGAAATAGTATAAAATTTAATAATAAAAATTCTTATTTTCAGAATAACTTTTACTATTTTGAAAGACAATTTTTTTATAAAAATTAAAAAAAATTAGGTACTACAAAAATAACAAAAATTTACTCCGAAAATAAAAATTTTTAATATTGTAATGTTCGAGGAAAATTTGAATATTTTTACTATTAAAAATCGTTATTTCCAGAAATAAATTTTGTAATATTCGTATATATATAGTCAATTTCATTGATAATATTAGTAAAATATACTGTAAATTTAGTAAAATTTATTCTAAAAATAATACAATTTGTCAAAAATTCCGAAAAATTTGTATTTTTCTTAGAGTTAAAAGTTACTTTATATATATTTGTTACGTTTTATGAAAAAATTCTAAGTTTAAAGACTCTGAGAAGTAATATAAAATGATTTTTATAAGTTTTAAAAAACTAATAACATTTTTCCAAAGTTTGCGAACAGTTAATTTTTTTTTCAAATATATATTTTAACGTTTTTCTACTTTACAAAAAAATGACAATTTTTATAAGTTTCTCATAAAAATAAGGGGAGAAGGGGAGAAAATTTATGATTTTTTTCAAATATAATTAAAAATTTTTCTACTTTACAAAAAATGATAATTTATATAATTTAGAAGATACATATTTTTGGCCAAATAATCCAAATGAATAGTTTTTTTTAAATTATTATTTGAAAATTTATGATTTTATGTGTTTTAGGTGCGATTTTATTAATTTAAGAGGGTAAAGAGGAGGAATAGGGGGAAAAATGTGATCCCTGAAAATTTCAATTATTCTAACCCAAGTAGAAATGTCCGGAGTTAGGACGGGAGTTAAACACCGACATGGTACTGACTCAGTACTGACCGTCGGTACTGACTTTCGGAACCCGATCAGTACTGGGAGTATACTGACTCCAAAACCGAATCAGTACTATGTCGGAGTTAGAAAAGTTCTAAAATCAGTACTGGCAGAAAACTGGCTTAACACTAAATCAGTACTGCGAAGGAGTTAAAAAAACAATCAAAATTTGTTATAATGTAATTAAACATTAAACATCGTTTGATTTATTAACAATTAAAATATTTGCAAAGATTTGTAAAAACATTATTCATCAACAATAATATCAAACATTTTATTAATTTATTATTAACTAATAGATATATTTTAATAATATAATAATAAATTATTATTAATTAATTATTTTTAGAATTATTACGTATTATTAATAATAAAAAAATTTTATTTTTTAAAGCTGTATATATATTTTTATTTATTTATTTAACAAAAATTTTTCTTAAATAAATTTTTTTTTATTATTATTTTAATAAATAATTAGATTATAAATAATAAATAAATAATTATATTAATAATTTTTACCATATTATTATGATGTATCTATTAATTACTACATAATGACTTGATAAAATGTATATAAAGATATATGTACTTATATATCGGTCCCACAATTCAAAAGGAAGTTTATGCGAGATAACTCCCGAGCTTGCGTGGCTATGCGGTATGTGTATTCGACTTGCGTCCTCGAGGTCTAGGGTTCGGTCCCCCGTGCGTGCGATATTTTTCCGTCTTAGTTTTAAGTGTTTTGTGTATAATTCTTAACAGTGTTACATAAAGTATAAGTTTAAATAATTAATAACCAGTAATAATAATAATTTAGTCATTAATTTAAATAAATAAGATTTAAATAAATAATGAAAAAATAAGAAAAATATTTTTTAAAACTTATTTTAATAAAAGGAATTCTAATAATTAATTAATAATAATTAATACTAATAATAATTATTAGTATTCAATAAATTACTCCCCATGCTTTAATAATTAAATAAGGAGCTTATACTGACTGCCGGTAAAAATCAGTACTGGACAGCGTTACCAGCCAGGGTTTTCCCAGTACTGACTTAGTACTGGAGTCAGTACTGCAATACTGGCAGTCAGTACAAGATCAGTACTATGCCAGTATTACATTTCTACTTGGGAAAATCTTTTTATTATACGTATATTTTTAAAATTTTACTATCGTAAAAAAATTATTCAAAAATATAATTTTTATTGATTTGTCTATACATAGTTATTTTTAACACTATAGAAATGAAAATAAATATTGCATTTTATACTAAAAATATGGTAGGTTCGTTGCAATATTTGAAAGGAAAGTCGAAAAAGTCGCAATTTTGGAAAACAAGTCGACTCCTCCCATAAAAACTGACCACGTGGTATTGATTATTACAATTTGAATTTAAAATTAGAATTCAGATTTAGAAACTAAAATAAAAAGCGAATTTTCAGTTATATAATAACATACATTATATTAATTTTTCATAATTATTTATTTTTAATATTATTTATTTTTATTATTCCTTAATTTTTCATAAATATTTATTTTTTTATATACCTAGTGATTTTTTTATTAATTTTAATTTCCAATTTTTACTAATTTCTAATCTTTTATTATTAATTATTAATTTTCATATATTTTTTAATTTTTCAATTATTTTTATTTTTAATTTATTTTATGAATATTAAGTTTCTTTATAGTTTTCTGACTCCAGACTTTACTCCATCGTCAGGGCATAAAATTTAAGTCTTCGTTCATTTTAATGATTAATTTTTGGTAATTTTTGGTAATTTTATTTTTTTATTTAATTTTAGTATCAATTTTTTTTTATTTTATTTATTGTTAAATTATCTTTTATTATTATTTTAATTTTGTTAATTTTATGAATAGACTTCCTGAAGAGGAAATCATTTAGATTTCGAAACGTTGGAGTAAATAAATCTTTTTATTCATTGTCCGAATGTTTTCGTTTCATTTGCCTTATTTTATAATATAATAAAAACTTGTAGAAATAAATAAAAATTCATTGCAATAATTTAATTTTTTAATTTTAATTTTTTTTTTTTTTAAATTTCATTGCAATGAATTCATAAAAAAAGTTTATAAAATTCATAAAATTCATAAAATTTATTGCGATAATTTATTATTGCAATGAATTTTTATTTATCTATTTTTCATTTATTTTTAAAAAGAAAATAGAAAAAAGTGTCCGTTTAACATTTTTGGTCATATTATACACTCGGTCGCAATAATAACGGTGTGTGTAGCTTTCGAAACAAGTTTTCAACATTTAATTTAATTTAATGACATGTCTAAAGAAGAAGGTGCTTTTAGGTACACGACAACTCTCTCGCACTCTTTTTTATAATACAGAATATAGAAATCGTTCGGTAAATAATTAATATGTAATCAGAATCTGATTGTGTGCGAGAGCAAAGGGTCTTCTACCGTTCTCAAGAATATTGAGAAAGGGCGCCAGCAATGGTCGACGAAAACGAAGGGTGTTTGTCAGCAAACACTATTGAAGAGGCTCTTAACAGATCTCATGTGTGATGGCTTGTGCGTGGGTTTCTTCTTTTTTTTCATATAAATACGCGACGAAAAAATGACGCGTTCAATGGGTACCTAACTTTGAACGAGTCAGAAAAGATTGTCATATTCTTTTATGAATTAATGTGCAATCTTCTTTTTTTCACATAGTAATTTTTTACTTGAAGAATTTACATCAAATGTTGTAA